TGCTGAACGGAATCCCTGATCCTGTTGAATTCCTGATCCTGCTGAACGGAATTCCTGAGCTTCCCGGGGAGGCAGCGCTGGGAAAAGGCAGGGAAGGATCCCAGGTTTGGCAGGGGCAGGGATGGGGCAGGTGAGGGAGGAAGGAGAGGGAGGGTGAGCTCAGGGGAGCAAATAAAGAGCAGCTTTTCCTTGTTCTTGGAGAGGGTTGGGATGAGGGAGGGAGCCGGGATGGAGGGAGGGAGAGCCCTCTGTCACCTGGGGATGGCACCGGAGGGACGAGGCAGGACAAGGAGAACCTGGGGATCGAGGGAGAGGATCAGGAGAGGGGTGGGATGGTGATCCCAGATCCCTGGGGATAAGGGGTGGGATGGCAATCCCAAATCCCAGAGGATGAGGGGTGGGATGGGAATCCCAGATCCCAGAGGGGCTCAGACAGCAATCCCAGCTCCCTGGGGAGAGGGGTGGGATAGCAATCCCAGATCCCAGAGGATGAATGTTGGGATGGCAGTCCCAGATCCCAGAGGATGAGGGGTGGGATGGCGATCCCTGATCCTTGGGGAGAGGGGGTGGGATGGCAATTCCAGATCCCTGAGGGGCTCAGACAGCAATCCCAGATCCCAGAGGATGAGGGGTGGGATGGCAATCCCAGATCCCTGAGGATGAGGGATAGGATCAAATCCCAGAGGATGAGGGGTGCAATGGCAACCCCAGATCCCTGGGGAGAGGGGTGGGATGGCAATCCCAGCTCCCTGAGGATGAGTGTTGGGATGGCAACCCCAGCTCCCTGAGGGGCTCACACAAGGCACTGGAGAGGGGGAACCACTCTGCGAAGGCGGAGAGCGAGCAGGCCAAGCAGGGGGAGGGATGTCACTCCTGAGCTGATCAGAGACCCCCCCCCCACCCCCATGCTCCCCCCAAAAAAGGGGGGGGGGGAAAGGCCGTTCCTCCAGAGAACCCCACAAAACCCACCCCTCGGCGTATTGTGGCGGCTAAGAAAGGCGGCGAAAAATAATCCCCGTGCCCAACATGGCCGCCCACCAGCGCCAGCGCCGGCAAAACGAGGAGGGGGCGGCAGCACCGGGGAGGCGGACGGAGGGGTGTGGAGGGGACGGGGACGCGGCCTCTCCCCCCTTTCGTCCCCCCGGGAACGGCGATCCCGGGAAGGGGGAGAGAAGCGACCCCCGAGCGTGTGGGGATGGAAGGGGGGGGGGGGGGAGATAGCGAGCGCGGAGGGAGCCCCCGCGGCGGGGGCCGCATCACCGCCGCCCCCCTCCCCTCAGGGGTGGCCGCTTCACCCGCGCGCGCGCGCGCCCCCCGCCCGCCCGCCCGTGAGGGGCGTGCGCGCGGATCCCTCCGCGTCCCCCTCAGAGCGCCCGGCGGGGCCCGGCGGGAGCGGCCGCGGCTCCTCCCCGGCACCGCGAGCCCTCCTCCCTCATCCTCCTCCCTCCTCCTCCTCCCTCATCCTCCTCCTCCTCCTCCCGCCGCCGCCGCCGCTTTGTGTACGCCGCGCTCCGGCCCTGCCGCCCCCCTCCCCTCACCCTTCCCCCCCCCCTCCTTCATTCCCTTCTTCTCCTCCATTCCCGGGCGG